ACTCCTAGCCGCCTGAAGTGCATACTACATTGAATTTCACACACTTTTGCGTCTCCATTTGCACGCGGATTTCTCACACAAAACGCTCGTCTAAACGCAGAATAAAAAAAAGATGACGCAACGACACTTTTGCGTTTTCTCATCAGAATCGTTTCCGTGTTTAGCCTCAGTTGGGCACTTTCAAGCCTATGCTTCCAAATGTAACGTTAGTACCTTCCGCCATTGCCTCCGGTGCTCCTCGTCTTTAGGTGGTGGGTGTAGCAAACTCGTAAAGTGCACCACAACAACAATCTGACCGCCTCACATTATGTTCGTTACACCGTTGGTCCAATTGTTCTCTCCTCTTAATCCAACTGTTATGGCAGCACCTAACTGAACATTTAATACTTGACATATTTTACCGTGCGTTTCAACTAGCGCAGAATCTCATCCCTCTCATGAGCCGGAAGTTGAAGTCTTTCTCAGACGGGAGTAAGATGACAAAACGAACGCAATGGCGTCACCCTTGTTGTCGTGCAAAATAAGGTGAATAGAAGAAAACTGTTTCCAAACCTCGAACTGTTCTCTTTTCTTCGGGAAAGAATGCTGTAATTTTAAAGTATTTTTCTCGCAGCTTGAAGCAATACACTAACGTTATTGGTTGCACCTCCATTACGTCACCACATTGTTGTGTTTATGGTTGTGAGTGGTGAATTTCAAACCTCAAAACGCCCCCTTTTCTTGCAGCTTGTTTGTTTGCGGAAGAACTTATTCACTCAAACCACAAACCTCGGTATGACGCGTTGCAAGTGAATCTATTTAATTTTGTGAATAAATATGATGCAGCTGGACTTACCTTTCAACATGGAAGGATAACCAGCTGCTGACAATAACACGGGAAAGCCCGGTGGTTTTGCGACCACTCGTTTCACATCATGCATGCCCAAAGAAGCATGGATTAACTCTGCCAAAACCGTGATGTCATTGTCCATCTCAATTCAGATCTCATATAATGGTGTCAATGCAGGCAGTTCAATAACATTGTTGAATATTAAATAAAAATGTCCCCAACTAAGCAAAGCCAATGGCGACAAATGTTGTTGTCTGCAATTTGTAAAACTTCACAATAAAAATTTAGATATTCTGAAATGTTTCCCTGTATTTTTTATTTCATTAAATATTCAGATGTTTTTGTGAATGTATATTCATGGTGTTTATTTTGTCCTGTTTTTATAAAAGAATATTTGATTAGGATACTTTTTTTCATACAGTGGTTTTAAGGCCCTGACACAGGCGACATAACTTAAGCCTACCCTAGAGTTGGCTTTAGTCATTGCTAGTTCTTTGACGTCGGTTTTCTGTTTCAGGGCCTTAAGAATTTATTTATTTTTCTGTACAAAAAACTTGTTTGCTGTAGACCAGAGATAATTTTCAATCCTGAAGTCCCCTGCCACTCCTCCCTCTGAGAACAGCCAGCACCCTTAGTGTCAGTCATTAACATATGAAAGGTCTTCTTCACACCTCTCACACCCAGCAGTGTTTCAGCTGTATATGTCCGTGAAATTTCACGGATTCCTGTATATGCCCGCTTAGGTGAGGTTTCCGGGTTTGTCTGGAAATATACTGTTCCGTGTTACTCTGATCCGCTTTTTCCCACATACATCCAGCAAACATCAAATTGCACAGGAGTTTACCATGCCCGGATATTGCCGGATTTGAGTCTTTTCATGCAGTGGAACCGATTGATAGATGTGCACTAACATAGCAATGTTTCAAGGTGCAGTCAGGAATTTCCCTAATTTAAACATAAATGAATTGCACTCAATTAATTAACTACCTCAATTGTGCATTACCAATGATTTGATAAAGCCTCCAGTCATATCAGTAGTTTCATTTTACATGGTTGCCTCATGGGGGCGGCCATTTTGAGATCACATGACCTGCTGAAAAATATTTGCTTTACTTCTGTAACCTCCCTGTTTTTTGGACTCTTTTGGTTGTGGAATAATTTAAAGCTAGAGTAGGCAATTTCGGAGAGGTTAGCAAGCTAGCATCGAAAGCATGAGATCCCACCCTTCCTTGTTATCCGCATCCTTCAAAACACATGAAAACACAGCAAAGTCTGCAAAGCGTCACAAGACGAGAAGGGGCATTAAATGTCTCATGTCCTAAAGCACATAACATTACAATAATCATGAATGTAAACAACTTGAGCTCTTACTTGTATCAACAGACTGCTGCAGATTCATTTCAGTGTTTGATAGAACGTCACATGCAGCATAATTGTTTTGGTTCAGGAGGAACTGTAAAAGGCTGCTGCTGTTTTGTCTGTGGCGCTCGGTGACTGAGGTCCGTCTACAACTCTGTAAAGCCTTGATGACATGTGATGTCTGCAAGAGCGGGTGCATGGAAGTATGGAAATGCAATTTGACAGGCAGTTAGGACAACAAATTGCATTCGGAGTGAAGCTAACACAAAAGAGTTACAACCTGTATAACAAAAAGTGTTTGTTTTTTTTAAAAATTGCCCATTCTGGCATCAGAAAAATATTCTCGTTTGTCCAATGTTACATCCACACCACTAGGTCTCAGTTTCCAGTTCATATTACGCAATGGAATATACTGAATGCACCTTTAAATGTTCCAGAGATGAGTTTCTTCCTCTGTATACAAGCCTCCAAGGTTAGCAAAAGAATTGTAACGCCTGCTAACAGTGCGTTACGGAGGGAAGGAGACAAGAAGCTGTTTTTATGGATGACAATGAAGGAGAGATGATGAACTGCTTTTGTGGGAAAATGGCTTATCATTTAATAAATCGACAGCCCATTGGTTAATCTTCAACATGTTTGCTCTTAAACATTCGGTTTAGATTGATCTATTTTTACACCGAAAAAAAAAAAAAATCTGTTTTATAAGTGATCCCAGCCAGCAATAGACTGCCGAAGTGATGACGTCACTTTGTAGGATAACTTGGAAGTTAGCGGCGAAATTTGGGTTCCTTTGATCGAAAAGCTATGCATTTTCCCCATAGACTTTTGGAAAATTGCAAAAAATAAGATCTGTGTTTAACAAAGAGTTGTGACCCTCACTCGTTTTGTCTATCAAGATAATCTTTACAAGTTAATCCAAAATGTATAAGTTTTTAAAAAACACAAGCAGACACAATAAAATTTTGAAAAAAAAAAACACACAAGCAGGTGGTGTGTTTTATGTCATAGCAAACACGTGAAAATATTTAGAGGCTTTGTTCACCGCACACATTATTTCAGGCGATTTAGCAAAAACCCGTTTAAAAAACCCATAGACTTTAGAGCGAGGGAACCGGAAGTGCTAAAATGCTAACTCACTTTTGCGTTTTGGCCTACAAAGTGCCGTCATTTCAGTCTCGGTTAACTGTTTTAGTCTTTTCTTGGGCTATGGTTAGACATCTATTAAATTTTAACTTACAGCCCAAATTTTGCCTTGTTTTAGCCACGTTAGACACGTTGCATGTTTGTACGCCTATTAGACGTCTTTCAAACGCAAAATTGCTTGCTAGGAAGTCACAGAGATAATTGCGCGATTGACTGTTGCACAACGAAATTCAATTACTTGAAGGCTGTAATGTGATTGGTTATCAAGAAAAACATTATTATTAATATTGCTGAGTAGTCTTTCTGAATGAGGAATAATACAGGATTTCCGTCTTTTTTTGTCCAAGCTGCATTGGCTGATAGCTGTTTCCGACACCCACTTAGAAGTACCGTACAGCATGGTTCCAGTATCACATTGTTTCTGGATAAATACTGCTCTTTACTGTTAGATTGCTCACTCGCTTACACACAGACACTCAAACACAAACTTTACATTGAGTGGAGGATGCAGAAAAATAGAAAGGTCATTTAGCAGCTTTACATTGGGATGTGAGTGTGTTGGCATGTGCTACACTATTCATTTGTGTGTGTTAGTGGGAAGGTGGTGCGTTACGGTGCGTGTGTCATAGCATGTGTGTGGGGTGCTGTGGCATGTCGTACGTCTTGATTACACACAGGCTCCCTGTTGTTGTATTTATTCCACACAGCCCCCTCCATTAACTATGGGAGTCCCTATGGCAACTGTCCATCATAAATAGTATTTTGATTGATTTACAATATTTAGCTTACAAATTCTATCACCAAAAAATCCCAGACGTCCAGAACGCTATAGAGAAGTTGGAGTTGGGCTCCTTTAACTTTGACCTGTAATTTAACTCCTAGTAGAAACTAACTAGAAACTATATTTGAAGTATATAATACCTGTTCTTCAATTTTAATAGATTTTAAAATGTTATTTATTAGTGCGATGGCAAAAGCAGTATTTTCAGCATCATTACTCCAGTCTTCAGTGTCACGTGATTCTTCAGAAATCATTCTAATATGCTGATTTTCTGCTAAAAAAAAAGTATTTCAAAGAAAAAAAAGTACCAGACTGAATGCAAGTTTCCTAAAACGACATGAGTAAGTTGATTCATGAGAAGAGTAAGCCATTACATTTTGATTTATTTATTTTTTGTTTGGAATAACATGCACTGATGAATCATTCATAATAAGACAAGGAATGTCCATTAAAAATGAAATAGGGTCCATTATGATTTCATGTTTAGTTAAAATAAACCACAACTGAGGCAAAAATATTTCACAGATTAAGCTAATAAGGTGAGTCATGAATCAAAGATGAACTTTGCAGATTTACAGGATATAGTGGGTCCTCCAACTCATGACCCTTAGCAGAAGTATACTTGAAAACCACGAGGAACAGAGTTGCCCAGACAGGCTGGAACAAGAGAGGTTGACCAGGGTAGAAAGGAGAGATGTCATGGAGAGGAATGTACGATGTGGGCTAGAAAAGAAGAATGCACTGAGGGAAATGTCTGCATATTCAAGGCTGCCCACGGCACACATTTGCCCAGCTTATAGCTAAAAGTCTCTATCCTCTCCTCTCCCTATCTGTCTATCTGTATTGCCCTCCCTCTTTGTCTTTTCCCACCATTCCTGCACCTCCGAGGAAGGACGAAGAGCAGGAGGACTTTGAAGAACCAGAACCAAGAGCAGAGAGACCAGTTCTTCCCCTTCAGGAGAGCCCAAGAGTGGAATCTGGATCTGGAATGAGGCAAGTGTCCTGGATGGTGCAAGGTTTGTTTGTGGAGTATGAATGCTCCGTTTGTTTGGCTTGGGAATTGCTTCATGCTTTCTAACGCGTGCTACCAGGGGTTTCAGCTCCAAGCAACAGCAGTTTGCTGCCTCTTAGATCTTGTGTGATGGGCATATAAATTAGTTCTGTTTTTCTGAAACAGCTGGTGTCACTATAATTATTCGGTTATGATTAACAAAAATAAAAAGGCTGCTAGGGACGTTTGTTCAATGAGACATTTCTGTAGGGTTTCAATTGTTGAAATATGTTCAGTAAAATATTGCCAGGATTAACAAGATTCAACGATCATAATAAAATACTGGGTATATATATATATATATATATATATATATATATATATATATATATATATATATATACCCAGTATTTTATTATAAAAGCCAGGGATTAGAGGGATAGTTCACCCCCAAAATATGAAAATGATATCATAATTTACTCACCCTCATGTCATTCCAAACCTGTATGTCTTTCTTTCTTCTGTGGAACAAAAAATAAGTAATTTTAAAGAATTTTCAAATGTCTGTTTTTGTCTATACACTAAAAGTCAATGGGGTCCAAAACACTCTAGGGACATTTTTATTTGTGTTTAACATGAACAAGTCTTGCCAGGTTGGAATTACATTACAACCCACAGCTATTCATAATTTAATCATCTAATCAAATATTTACTATTTACAAACTATTTACTTAATAAATATTTTATTATTTTATTAATTAAAATAAACTACTACTGAAAAAATATACTGATGGCAACTAGTTGCTAGGAATTGTAAATGTAGGCTGTATTGGGGCATTTCTTGACTGTTTTTATATATTAAGAGCCTCTGTCATCTCGCAAAGTTTATTCGTTCAATAACTGCGTCAAACCTGTGAGCTGTCAGGGGAATCTTCTGATATAATAATCTTTGAGATTTCAAGAACAATCCAATTATCAGCCACCATCTGTACTCTCCGTCTGCTCTAAAGTCTTGAGGAGATGCACACGCGTGTGTAAACACACCACTGACACGCGAGTGGTGTGCGGGAATAAAGTCAACAAGGGCAGCTGGGTGACGCTGTGTAAGCGTGGATGAATGTGCTATGGATGATGTGTCATATCAAGAACAGTGATGTCTGTATGCCTGCCAAACACGTAAGGGCTGACGTCGTACACTCATAATGAGCAATTCTCCTCTCCCACACACTGCGGCCCTGTACGGTGTGCCCGAGTAAGAGTGTGTGTCTGTGTGGGTTAAGAGCAGAGATAATGCATCTTCTTGATACTGATGTCATTTTTTGTTGTTGTTTTAAGACAAATCAGAAGGGAAGCTGAGTTGATGTGCTGTGAGAGAACTCCCCCTTGTTTGTGAGGGAAGAACCGCAGCGGCTATAGGATACACCGTTGGAGAGGGGAATTGAAGTTGGTCGCGGGTTCAGCACACTCTCCCAGCAGTTCAAGGTATTGCCTGAAAGGTTGCCTGAAAACAAACACAAATAGTTATAGGCTAAGTGAACAAAATAGAAATAAGCAATATTTTATATATGTGTAGGCTCAAGCTATCTATCTCTATCCATCCATCCACACACATTAGGGGTGTAACGTACGTACACAAAAATGACATTCGGTACATACCTTGGTTTTGAAGTCACGGTTCGGCAGGTGGGAGAAAACTAAACATAAAACTGATTTACTGAACAAATTGAGTCTCTGTGTTTAATTAAATAAATTAAATTATAATTAAAATGTTCTATCTCTGCTTACGCTTTAAACTAATAGTAAAGGGAGCCCTTACTACATTAGGCTACTATAATGCAATTAACAACAGAGCCAATTTTTTAGCCAATGACTATTAAATTCAGTATTTATTTTTTAATGACACTCACATAAAAATTGTTTGCACACATTGTATAAAAGGCAGATTTTGCAACTTCTAAAGATAAAATTAGTTGTTACATGTACATTAAATAATCAAGACAGGTTCATAAAAATATAATGAATCGGCTATATAGGCTAATATAGTGTATCTATTTAGTAAAAGACTTAATTTTTCTAGCTGATAAGAAGCTGTAAACAGTGAATGACTTGCCTGAGTAATGCTTCGTTATTTACAAGCTGTTTTACTGTCTTTCCGCCATTGAAACACTGATTGAGCGATTACACTAGATATAATACGTTTCAGTAAGTTGTAGGCTACTGTATCTTTCAGCATACCTTCAGATGTTCATTCATGTCCTGATTCATGTTTATTCTGTATAGCATTAAAGAGGAACGCATTCTTATCCCAAGGCGTCATATATGACACTTTTGCAAAAGCGTAAACATCAAACGCACATAGCACCCTTTAGCGTCAAGTGAGACGCTTCGGTTATGGTCATAGACAGGTTATGGTAGGTTTAGTAATTGGGTAGGTTAGGGTTAGACCACTAGGAGGCGCCTTCTGCCCCATTTATATCTGCGTCTCATTTGACGCTAAGGGTGCCATGTGCGTTGGATGTTTACGCCTTGCTGATCACGTTCAATCACTCCCGCTTGCAAAAGCATTTATTGTTTGAATTTCGTGACAAAATATAATATTATATATATATATATATATATATATATATATATATTAAAGGGAACAAATATTATATTTTGCATAAACAAAACAAAGCCGAGTTGTTGGATCATTACTTTTTCATATTTGTCCATATTCTTCAAATTCCCATTACATTTTGATGTTTTCAATTATTCTTAAAGGCGGTTGATAAATAATAAATAAACAATGACATATAACAGCATTCTACAAGAAAAGAAAAAAACGTGTTTTTTTGTTTTTGTTTTTTGTTTTTGTTTTTGTAAATCAGCATACATTAGCTAAATGCAGTAGGCTACAACAATTATTATTTGTCCTAAAAATAGGATTAATTTTCTCTAAAGTTATTTGACCCCTTTCTTGATTGGGGTGAAATATGGCCAAAACAACAAGTTAAAACTTAACTTGTGAACTGTGTTCTAAACACTTTTTTTACACCAAGGGTCTGTCATCCTGAATCTTCACCACTTTTGTCCCCATCTGTTCTATTTTATGAATGATAAAAATGCCAACAGATAAATTGCAGTTGTATTAGTAGATGTCTGTTTGTCTTGCTGATGCTTGTGCTGGTTTTGTAACAGAGGTTTATGGTCCAGATTTAAACTGAGACCATGAAGGGCTTGGAGCTGCTGCTGTTGCTGCTTTTTCTAAAAGGTAAGAACTTGTTCTGAATCAAACATGGTGCATATTATGGTGCATGTCCAAAAACATGCTATCACAGTAGTAAACATCCCCCCAAAAAATATAATAATACAATAATGTTTTTTTAGTAGTGTTAAAAGATTAGATTATTTAAACTACATTTCTTGCACTCTTCCCTCTTTCTCTGGACAGATGTTAGTGCTCAGTGGAATGTGTGGATGCCCAGAGACATTTCAGCCATGACAAACTCCTGTGTGGTTATACCTTGTTCATTCACATACCCCTCTGGTATCAGGCCTTATAGGGGGGTCCACGGGATCTGGTATTTTGGCCACCCCTACCCCCAGCTTTTCCCCCCAGTGGTGTATAAGTCACGCACAGATATTGTTCACGAAAGTTATAAAGGACGGACCAGGCTACTGGGTGACCTGACACAAAAAAACTGCACACTGCTGATAAAAAATGTCGGCGAGGAACTTTCTGGGAGGTATTACTTCCGTGCAGACCTGGGCGGAGCAAATATCTACACTTTTCCTGACTTCACAAATCTACAGGTGTTGAGTAAGTGTACAGGCCATTATTTATTTATACCTTTTTATGTGTCTTTCAGTAATAGTACCCTCAAATCCTTAAAACAATGCAAATTTACTTGAGAAGCAACACTGCATAAGATTAAGATTAAAGGAATAGTTCAACCAGAAATGTAACATTTGTGATCATTTACTCACCCTCATGTTATTCAAAACCTGTAAGAGGATGTTTTGAAAAATGTTTTTGTCCAATGTTTTTTTTTTTTTTTTTTTTTTTGGGACTGCTTTGACATCTCTTGTTTTCATAAATGGTATATTGAACTTAAATGTATTTTGTCTTACTACATTGTAAGACTTTTTCACTTTTTGCTTCTTAAGTTTATTAAATTAATTTGAAGGGTTTTTAGATATTTTACTGAAAAGTTACCCTAAGATACATGTTTTTTTTTTTTTCAGTGTGTTTACTGAAAAGTTGTTCTACTATTTGAAGTCAAGATGAAACAGCATTTTCAGCCACAACCAATTTTTCTTTTGTAATAAGATCTATTTCTGGATCAAACAGCATATTTAAAGAGTAAAAATGTAGGGCGAGACTTTGTACTGTTAAAAATGGATGTTGTATAGAAAAATGGAATCAGACCTAAATGCAGGTTTGCAAATTCCATACATAAATGATTATTGGGCTTGATTAAAGTATCAAGTAAACAGGTCTTTTTTGACTTCGTATTGACTTCTATGTCTCTCCCTACTCTAGATCAGCCCAACATCGATGTTCCAGAGGAGATTGTTAGTGACTTAAGCCTGGACTTGACCTGTTATGTACCAGACAATTGTCCAGACATGAGTCCAGAGATCCACTGGATGTACACAGACTACCTGCCCGACCCCGTTTTCACCCCTGACACTGTCGAGGAAAGCAACACTGCTGTACTGTCCAGCACCCTTACCTTCACACCCAAACCCATGCACAACGGCCAGCTGCTGGGTTGCCGGGTCCACTACCCAAACACCACCTTTATCTATGAACGCCTTATTTCTCTGGACATCAAGTGTAAGTTCCACCATTTTATTAAACGTTTAGCTGCTTAACTTTCATCAAAACCGATGCATAATTTTCTCAGACAACATCTACCGACTTATATCTGTAGACGCCCCTCGAACCGTGTGGGTGAATGTGTCTCAAGAGGTGATGGAGGGAAGCTCGGTGGTCCTGCACTGTGATGTGGACAGTAATCCAGTCCCCACGATAACTTGGTATTTTGGTGAAAAAGAGCTGATGTCGGAAACCGCCTCAAACTCTTCACTGCCCCTGGACAACCTGACCCCGGAGGAGGAAGGTGTCTACACCTGCGTTGGTGACAATGGCTACGGCAGCATGAACACATCCATGTATCTGGCAGTAAATTGTAAGTAAAAATTCATGCACTCCTGTGGATTAAAAAAATAAATCTCTTAGTGATTTTGGATACAGATAATGGCTTAAGTTTTGTTTGCATAATTGATTCCGTTTTGTGCTAATAAGTCATATTGCAATTTAAGCCGTATACTAGCATTTCATTATCCATCCGAACATTAATCCGGAAATCCGGTGTTCTTCTTTCTTTTCTCTCAAACTGGAAGTTCCTCCACGGGAGCCAAGGATTAATGAATCTCTGACAGCGTTAGAGGGATCTTCAGTTGCTCTACAGTGCACCAGCAGGGGTAATCCAATGCCCACGTTGACCTGGCTGAAGGATGGGGAGCTGGTGGGCACCATCACAGCTGAGGAGGGGTCAGTGCTCGAGCTGCACGAGATCACACCGCAGGCCGATGGAGTCTACCGCTGTCTGGCCGAGAACGAACACGGACGGGCCAGCAGCTCACTTAACATTACAGTAGAATGTAAGTCACTGTAAAAGTTTGACCAGTTTTTGTAGATTGTAATTATGCTTAGGGACATTTTATAAATATGTTTTCTCCAAAGAAAAGTTGGTTTTGGTTTGAGTTCAGCTTGGTTCAAGCCTTAGGATGCCAAGATGAGCATAGCTGAACAGATGAGCAAGTAAAGGATAGATGTCAGTGACTACGTTTACATGGAGCCAATTTTTGGGGTTCTGGTCGGGTTAAGGTCACTTTTTGGGTTTCTGAAACATTGGGAATAACTCGTTTACATGCGTGAGCAGAGAGAGTTTCTCCTGTGGAATTGCAATATACCGATGTAAATGGCGACGCACGGTTAGCGTCTAGACGTACGGACAACCTTAAGATGCAATATTCGTCATTTCCGATTCTTCTTCCTGTATCCAAAGACGACGACAACAGCAGCACTGTTAATGAATAGTTCGGGGCAGATAGGGATCACCTTTGTTTCCGCTTTGATGCCGGTAACGTTACTGGCCTCGCTCCAAAAGTATGCTGTGCTGTGTCTCGCCTGGTCTCGCCATGTTTACTTCCGGTATACTGCACACAGATTTTTGTATGCGCCGAGAAGTTTCTCTACTCAAAAGACCAAGATTCCTTGCGAATAGAACATGCGCAGAACACAAATCACTATGGGGATATGCCGATACGCGTTTACATGACCAAAAATTCGGGTTAGAAAAGGGGTACCCCAGGTATAATATCCCGGTTTTTAAAATCTGGGATACGAGCATATTCGGGTTTTTGCCGGTGTTTACATTTGCCGGGTTACTGCTAACAATCTGGTTTTGAACGGGTTATTGGCTGCATGTAAACGTATTCAGTGTTGAAGTATTTTAGTCCAGACAAGTCCATCTCAAGTCCAAGACCATATTTGCTATGACTAGTCGAGACCAGATCATTCAAGTCAGAGGCTGAATTCAAATGCTTCTGAAACTACGTTCTTGGACTCTGACTCCAAGTCCAGTCTTATCTGGGACTGAAGTACTACAACACTGAAAGATGTGTTTTTTAATTATTTCTTCTCTATTTTCCTAGTTGCCCCTGTCCTCCTTGACGACTCTAAGTGCACTATAGTCCGTGAGGGCGTTCAGTGTGTGTGCATTGCCTCAGGAAACCCTGAGCCTGTGATCGAATTCCACCTGCCTGACCTCAACATTACCATCAACAACTCCAACAACCGTTTCAACTACTACGTGCACTCGGATGGGTACACCTCCACGGGCATCATCAAGCTCCAGGACAAGGGTGAAAGGGGAAACAATGGTGATACCGCTGTCCATGTGCACTGCAGTATCAGCAACATTTACGGCTCCGAGACCATCCGCTTGGAATTGCAGCAGGAGAGTAAGTAGACTTTCACTGAAAGCACATGTCCAATCATTAATGTGATTTTGAGGTGTCATCAATTTACTCTACGCACTCTTTTAGAAAAGTACATGATGGCCGTCATAGTGGGAACCATCGGAGGTGTGGCGGTCATCGCCTTCATCATCGCAGCTGTGAGATACGTGGGTCATAACAATAAAAAGTGAGTATCCCTCACAAGACAGACTGGGAGAATAACATTTTGGTGGAGTTTGTGGGTTGGGACCGGGGTTTGTTGGTATCAAAACACCCAAGCCTAGTCATCCATGTTCAGTTTTTTGTTTTTTTTTGTTTTTTGGCATTTGGTTTTCAAGCCATAACCCACTCACAGATTATCCAATTTGATTGCTTGGTAAGATGGTAAACATGCCACATTGTGCATGAAACTGCAGACTAACAAAACTATTACAGGTTCAATTGCCCCATGCCATTGCTTTTCAGCCTCAAAACCGCTGAGCTCTGCAGCAAACATCCTGCTCCTTTCTCATTTTGCAAGAAAAAATAAAACGTCCCATTGGATATCAAAATGAAACGATTCCCAAACTTGAAACTGTGGCACAATGCCATTTTTATTTAGGGGTTGCATTGCAATGATCCCTTGTGTTAAAATGGATGCCCAGGCTTAAAGGAATAGTTGACCTAAAAATTACAATTGTGTTTAACTCACTGTATGGTTTTCTTTCTTCAAAGGAACAAAAGCAAAAATAGTTTTTTCTGAATGTCTAAGCAGATCTTTTCCATACAATGAAAAGATAATGAGGTCTGTATACTTCCGAAAGGGACAAAAGGATGTTCCATAAAATGTTCTATATGATTTTCTATATGAAGTTTCCTTCAGGCAATGTCACGTACTGGCTTGACTTGATAATCCAGATTCAAAGAGGCTTGACACAGATGAACAATGAAATCTCACAATTTATAAATGTCAAGAACCATTCATAGAAACACCAGCATGAAACGGTAACATAGGACCAAGAACAGAAAATAACTGAGGGTGTTTTATTTACAACACTCTGGAAGAGCACGTTCAAATTATCTACCCAATCAGTATGATCAGAGGCCTATATATCGCTGACGCGCCTTCGTTCGTCGATGGTCTTTTCTGCATCCCTCCAACCCCCCATCCCCCCGACTCCTCACTCTCAGCAAGTTTCTATCCCAGCCAGGGATATGTGGGAGTACTTTGGGTTCAGGCCACATTCAGAGCTCTGTGGGACCTCATGATCAAATGACAGATGATCACTGACATCAATTATGGCATATCATTAATGAAGCTCAACCCCAGTCTCCATTCATTTCAATTGTATTGAAAAAGCAGTTTAGACATTGTGCAAAATGTCTTGGTTTGTGTTCCACTGAAGAAAGAAAGTCATTAAGGAGTTTTTCATGAGGTTGAGGAAACTATGATAGAAATTTAGTTTTTTGGCTCAACTATCCTTTTAAAGTGTTGCCACTAGCCAATTAGTTTACAGTGTGGTTGAGTGTGAGACAGAGTCTGATTCTCTGACTCCACCCCCCAGAGAGAATGGTAACCCTGGGCAGGACGTGGGATCTAAAGTGGAGAATCCCTCAATGTTCTACAGCGCAGTCAAGAAGGACAAACAGAGTCTCAGGAAAAAAGTGGTGAGATATCGCAATGATAAATAAATCACCTACATATACAGTACTTGCACACACAGTGATAATACGAAATGAAAGCGAACACAATAAAAATACAATAAATTCATCAACATTCTACAGTCTTTCCATGCATACATGTGGCAAATGATATTATATACTGGCTCTTCTCTAGTTGTAATTAGCTTTCCACACTTAGCAATAACATTTAAAACAATCAAGAACCACGTATTAAAAAGAATCACTCATTTTTGCTGATTGCTACATACTAAGTACTAAGTTTTTAAAGAATAATTTGAAGTATAGGAAACTATAGTTTTGCTATACTGTTACACAGACCTGACGAAATCATCTGCTATGTTCAGAACGGTATGCTAGAAAACTACTTATTAAATACTACACCAGCCTGTTCTCACGTAAATACGTCTCTATAACACGTATTGTGTATTGTCGTGTAATTTATACGTGAAATTGAGTTTTTATGTGCATATGAGACGCAGTTTTTCGCGTGCATTTGATACGCAGTTCATTTGCGTGTAATACACACATCCCCACACCACTAATTCTACCTAAACGTATAATACACACGCACCCCACACCTAAACCTACTCTAACCAACCAATGCGTATCATATGCACGTAAAAACTCACTTTAGCGTATAAATTATACGACAATCCGATTGCGTGCTATAAAGACTGACTATACACTTCATGCTAATACTATTAAAAAATAGCAAATGGAACAGTAGACTTTTCAAGCTGACGTATGCTAACACATATTGTCACATGACCTTATGTTGCATGCATGCAGCATCTTTTAAATAAATAGTTTGAATTTGTAATCCAATTTTGTCTAAAATGTCTTAACTTTTATAAGTCCAATCAAAAATTTAATTAAGAAAGAAATGGCTGAATTTACCTCCAGTTTAATAATCACGCTGGAAATGGACGTTCCAAAGAAAGGCATTGCATTGTGGGATACAGTGTGCTGTGTTGAATGCTGCATATTTTGGCAAATTAACTATAGAAGATCATCTGCGTAGTCAATGTATACAAAAAGTGGCATACTGTGCACAGAAACGGTAGTATGCTAGTGTACTATTCTGAATATAGCCACTGCTACAAAAGCCAAGTGTGGATGGCACATCACAACTGAGAGTCCCAGTGTGGCCTATGCTTAGAGCATTTCCTGACCTCTATTCACTCCTCTTTCATTGCTTCTCTGCACTCTGTCTCTTTTTCTTCCCCTAACATAGCTTAAGACTGAGCTCCTGGGCTCAAAGTTTAACTCCATCCTAGAGGAAGGCACGGTAAGGCTGACATTTAAGATGAGCATGTAAACAAATGGGTGGAGGTAAAATGAACTGGCACTAGAATAAAAGCATAAAATGGAATATTTTTTAGGGCAAAAAAATCAAATTCCGGCAATAAATAATTCAGATTTATTTGTGTTTTTAACACTGCTGCCTGGAAGCTAATAGTTCATGCGCTGTGCTACCTCATTATGTTTGGCATCTAATTGCTATCTGTGCTTTTGAGTGTCTTTTTGGGAACTTTTATTTTGACATTACCAACGTTTTCCTGCTCTTCCCCCCAAAATTGGGCTTAAATATCTTTCCTACATTATCTTCACAGGGAGACGACAGTGATTACCAATCTGTGGGCCCAATGGCAGGCATGGAGAGGCAAGAGTTGAATTACGCCGCCCTAGAGTTTCTTCATGGACGACACCGGGAGGGAGGCTTCAGGAGGGCTGATGGTGACGGCAGCGACTATACTGAAATTAAGGCCAAATGAACCGCGATTCTTCCCTGATGCCTTGGCCAAACGGGACACGGGGCCACTAGGACCCAATCATTCCCCATGCCCCACAAATTTTCAATTTCATCTATATTAAATGTGACCTTTTGAGGGGACAATGGTCTTAAACACCTAGCGGACAATGTGCAATTATTTTTGTCAGAGTATAAGGTTTTTGAGCTCTCTTACGTCTCTGAGGTTCTGGGAATGACACTTTCCATTACCTGTAAAATATACAATAGAGATTCTTTATATATTTAATAGTTTTCGGTTATTTATACCCATTCTTGCTTGTAACCATACCAGATATTTGTCTCTTGGTTTAAAAGACAAGACTTTCTAAAAAGAAGGTTCTTTTCCCCAAGAGTTACAGAAGAGCTTTTCTCAAAGTTTGAAGAAGCTTAAGGGAATCGGTATGGTTTCGGGAGAGACTCAGTCCCTAGTGGTCCTTTTCACTGTGTCCGCTGTAAGTCAAAGCATCAGGGAACGAGGTGCTCTGTGCACCTCGACATATAGAATAAGCACTATCCCCAACTCTGGGTTTGTCCAGAGAGACTAATACTCTCAAATATAGCCAGACTATGTGTACATTGATACTTTTTTCACATACCCAGAAGTGATTGTTAAAGGGATAATTTGCCCGAAAAATGAAAATTCACTCACCCTCATTTCATTCCAACTGCATGTTGCAAGAATCTCCATTCAGTTATTTCCATACAATAACAGTTCATAGTGCATACTACATCTGTCAAACTTTAAAAAGGCAAAATACATAATTAAAGTACCATTGTGTGCTATATTCCAAGTGTTTTGAAGCCATTATTGACATCAGTTATGCCAAAAATTAAGAATGGGATGCCATTTTTAATTTTCTGAACTCAAATGTAGAATAAAATGTGGAATATTGAGTCGTATGGACTACTTTTATCGGGCTGTTATGAAGTTTTATCATCCATTTTTGGAGTTTGTGATGGCTGAAGTATTGTATGGAATAGCTGCATAAAGATGCTTTATATACTTTGATGTTCCATGGAAAGATAAAGTCATGTGAATTTGGAACAAAATGGAGGTGAGCAAGTATCACAATTTTCAGATTTGGGTGAAGTATTCCTTAATTTTGGCTTACATTTGTACTGTTTTTCCCCCCCATTTCAGTTTATACTGTATCTTAATTATTTGTATTTGTAAATGAAAACAGGCCAGTAACTGAATTCCAAACTGGTTTATTGAATGGTTGCTGGATTTTGTTTGTCCCAACTACTTTGTGCCCTTTTATTCAGATATATATTTATTTAAAATATGTTCCAAATAAATTGAGGAGCAAAATCACCCTTTTAATTATTCAGCCAACCTGGAAGTAGTATATGATCATGCCTGATGGCCATCCCTGCCCTGGAACACACTGCAATCCAATAGAGTCAAGCTGACATTTGATACCAATAGAAAGTCATATTTAATAATGGATGATTGAAGCTCATCCTTTGAAACAGAATAAGAAATAACCACCATTTGGAACATATAGAAAGGTATCACTTTACCTAAGGTGCTTGAAATAAATGTAATGTTTTATGTAATCATGTAATCCTCTGGTAAGGTTGTGTCCAATAGATGTTTGTTAAATGGTCAGTATATGCAATTAGCCCTTGAAATGCATTTTGACTAACAGATTAATGAGTCATTATGATATTAAATTAATTGCATCTTACATTCATAAAGCATTCAATGCACCTTGGTAGGATACCAATGTATGTAAATACTCTGCATGATATATAGTTCCGTGTTGTGGAGCTTTGACTGCACAACAAGAACATACATTGTGCAACAATGGTGTATATTTTGCAGAAAATCACACAAAAAACTGACATTATATATGCATATACAATTAGTAACAGACAGTCCATGTTTGAAGGTATATACACAGATATTTATTTGTAAGCAAAAAGACTTGGGGGCGCATTTCACTTTAAGTGTTGTAAAGAATATTTGTATGTATCTGACTGTGTGATGGCAATAATAATGAACAAAGTAATGTTGTTTCCTAATTGACATAATAATGCAGAGCAGAAAATCTCCAATCGTTATTTAAATAATAATTTACATGATGTTCTTTGCTTGTGTTCTTTTTATTTAATAAAAGTCTCCATACACAAATGTTGCAAGTGAATGTTATATGTTCTAAGTGAAAAAAAAAATTAAAACTGGCTTATTTGCTTTATTCAAATGTTCGCCATTACTTGGAGAAACGTCTCGGTTACGTATGTAACGAGCCAATGGCAAAAAAAATTATGGCTTAGAGAATACACATATGACCCAGAGGGATGGATATGGAGAACACTGGGGTGTCCAGCTGCAGGTGGAATATTTCAGCCACAGGGGTGGCAAGGTGGCTTGCCAAGGGAAAGATGCACATACTCAGAGAGGCTTACAGTGGAAATACACATGTGGGGGTCACCCAGAGCAGGGACCATGCACTCAGAGGCAACTAGCCAACGCACAGGCAATAGACAATGGCATCGACGTCAGCAGTGCTGGAGGAACTCAGGGCTTGCGGGAAGCTCACCTGAGGAATAAATCGCTTTCCCGCCATAACAGACAAAGAGCTGGTCTGAGGTCCTGAAACACTGGGTTCTGTCTATAGGCGCGGAGGGGGCGTACTGGACAGAGCAGTGCCAAGGCCTGGTCTGCCTCCTCCAGGGGCAGCGCTTGCAGGTTCACCACCTGGAGGGAGTGGGAGGAACCTTGAGCACATATCCAGGCCGGGGTCTCAGGATCACGTGAGAAAAGGCTGGCCCGAATTCCAGGCACTCTTTGTCTGCAGAAATGCGTTTAGGTCCCCTACCCTCGTTACCCCCTACGCTCCTTAATGGAGGCCAATGCAACCAGGAACGCTGTTTTTATTGACAGGAACTTAAGCTCCACTAATTGCAGAGGCTCAATGGGGCGCACTCCACTGAGAGGTCCCAAGAGGGAACGAGAGGAAGACGAGGAGTATTCAGTCTCCTCGCTCCTCTCAGGGACCTGATGATCAGGTCATGCTTTCCCACGGACTTACCTTCAACTGGGTCATGGTGTGCGGCGATAGCGGTAACATGGACCTTCAGGGTGGAGGGAGACAGCCTTCGCTCCAACCCTTCTTGTAGGAAGGAAAGCACGACAATGATCAGGCATTTTCTGGGGTCTCTTCTTTTTATTCCTTCTGAGCAGATAATGGAAGGTCGTGAATTTCACATTAAATTTTAAAAAGGAGCCAAAACGTAATGAAATGGGCTAAACCTGCATGGGCCCAAAGGTGCAAAACCTGCTCTGGGCCTGTGGGCCATCATGGGCTTAATGTGGGCAGCCCGCTAGTGTGGGCTGCTCACTGATAGCCCGTGGTGAGCCCAAAGCTGTGGGCCTCGCCTGGGCAAGCCCGCATTGGGCCTGTTTAGGTTTGGCGTGGGCTGGCCCTAGCCCACTGTGCCCACAAAAAGCCAGCGCGGGCCCCGCAGGGGCATGTTCGAAGCTCCAAGTCTTACTTCATCAGGCATTGATCCCTGTCCAAACTATCTGCTAAGGGCAATCTCCTGGAACTTTGCAGAAAGATTTTTCTGCCTTTTCTCCTGCTGTGAGTTGTGGGACGTTTATATACCACATACAGTATCCGTGGAAAGTATCAATAATAATAAAATGTTATTGTAACCCTGTTGAAATGTATTCATAATATTCTATAATACAGTTTTGAATAAATAATTTCATAGTTGAATAAATAGAATTTAATGTTAAAAAGTTAAGACCAGCAATGAAGAGTTTATTTTGTGTAATGAGAGAAATGCCTATTAGGTAATGTGTTTCAGTATTTAAAATGTTAAATATTTGTTTCGTATTAATTATATTTGTGAAAATAATTTAGCAATGCTTTCAAGCATAGGAAGAAAGAGGTACACAAATGTTTGGTGAATTTAATTTATTTCTGAAAGTTTGTGAACGATCCAATCGCAGTTGAGGTCAAAGGGTGTGGAAGAAAAGAAGCGTCGAAGAAGAGAGAGGCGAACCGCGTGTGGTTTTGCGGAGAGAGAAACTCGGTAAAAGTTAATGAAATTATCCAGTTAGTCAAAGTGTGCGATAAGGACTCTTGTAAAATACTTTAATGGTGATAATTCTGTCTGTGTAAGTGGCCTACTCTGCACACAAAGACGGAAATAAGTAAGTTAGCCGCTGATATAGTGGTTAATGTTTTTGCATGGACTTTTCTATAAGCTAGCGACCTCGAGTATAAATTTAAGCCCGTGTGGAGCTGTGAAATCGACAACGAGGATCAAAGACCCGACGGATCCAGATAGCGTTACCGACTGGTGGACTTTGCCCAGATCGTTGACCATGTGATGTGACTCTTCTTTCTCCTCATCTTCTCTTTCCCGCGAATCTGTCTTCTGCTGCTGACGCTTTGATCCATTGTGCATGGGATTACATTCACATTAAGGTACCTTTATATTTTCTTTGGCCCGTGCCGTGTGGTGAAGCAGCCAGTGGATTTTAGGCTACAACGTACTCAAGCTAGGCTACATTCAGGCTTTCAACATTTAAAGGGCATCTCTAATTCAAGTGTTGCCGGCTATTTTATTTTCTTGGACCCTTTTTTTTAATGTGAATGCCTTTGTGAGTGATTTTCACAAGAGATATTTAATTACTATTCCTTACTCTTTCTATATTTTTTTCTAAGTAAATCTGTTATACTTTTTTTATATATAACAGTTGTGGTCACTGACTCTTTTGATATTTTAAGTTAAGACAAAGATTGTTTTTTGGTTTAAATACTCAAATAATTACATTACTACATTTAAGTTCCAGTTAAAGTGTGAAACTGTTACTGTAGCCTACTGTTTAACTAGTGATTTAAGGGGAAAGAGTTTTTAATTCACAAAAGTTAAGCACTAATTAGTTTATTAGTGAAACCTCACTTAATTTATTTTGTATAGATTTTTAAAAGAACTCAGGATAGCCACCTCTCATTATAGTCCAACACGCTAGAGAGGTGGTACATTACAAATGAATTTGAATGTGTGTGCAACATTCTCAGTTAAAAATGCATAAATACAAACACACAACCAACAACCTTTTACAGTAATTTTTACTGTCTGAGGAAAGACATACACTTCCCTTGATCCTTTTTCAGTTTCAATCTGTATCTATTCACCATCAGATTCACCCTGAACCAAGTTTTTCAGCATAAAGCTGCACTCTCTCTCACCACGAAAAAGTCTAGCAGAACTGGCCCTAAAAGGAACTTCAACAGTTGGGTTTTGTGGACCTCGTTTGGAGAAGGTCCTTCCAATGGGTTCTGAGACACTTTGAGGGACAGTGAATAAGCAGAATACTCTGATGCACAAACCAGCCTCTCCAGTGAAGTTTTCTTCTACTCTTATGGAGAAGTTAGTCGGTTCATCAGGGTGTGAAATGAAAAATCAAAATCAAAGCAATATCAGGTAGACTGTGGACTTAAGTTTAATAATTGTCTTCTACATTGTCTAAATATACTGTATTTTAAATATATCAGTAAAAAAGCATCATAGCAAAGAAAATAGACATTTTTTTAGAACTGTTAAAATGATGTTGAATAAATGACCTTACCTAATACTTGCACTTACCTAATATTTGAAGAGCTCATAAAACCTGATGTGACAGCAGTATGGGCTATATGCACGCATAAGTTCCGCATTTGACGTAAGGATGCTCGTCCATTTCCGGTTGTGTAGATTAAAGCGGAGGAAAACCGGAGAAAACGGGATTATGGCAGAGTCTTCAATATTTACTGTCCTCCCGTCTTTGAAACGAAACGTACATACGTTTAGATGTAATTTTATATATAGTTATGTTTATTTAATATAATTTTAAAAAGAAGCATAAACACAACGAGGAGTGTCTGTTTTATCTGTTTTTGTGACTAACGTTTCATTAGTATAACCATGGAGTATAAAATTCAATATAAATTCTCGGTATTGCATTGGACTCTATGATCGGCGGAAGTTATCGAGCATCCCTAATGCTTCACCGGAAATAACGCCGTGCATAGAGCCCATTAATTGCGATCAGATTGGTGCTGTTTTTCTTGATCTTGATCTGTCTCCAGTTTCTGCAGCTGTGATGTCTATTGTTGCACAATACTTGCGTTACATCCCCTATCCTTAACACGTAAAACACTAAACTAACAACATATAATTTTTTAAAGGCATGAAATGTATTGAAACACAAGACCTTTGAATACTATCACAACTTTTAATTAAAATGAAAGTCTTAACAAAGATTACAAGATTTGATGGCATAAAGTAAAAAGGACATAAAAACAAATGTTGGGATTTTAGGATATTAGCACATGCTAAAATTCATGCTGTTTCAAATTATGCTAATGTGTAAGAAAAGCCACTTGATGTATAAACTGAACAAAAAGCTTTATATCAGCTGTAATGTGTTGATCAAACCACTAAGATCTCTCTGAAGACATTTGAAGAGTCTCATACACAGATTCCTCTCTCTTCACTGGAGTCATGTAGACATGGTTGTCTTTATTTGGTTTCTTATGGTTTTCTCTCCTTCTGCCAAAATGGTAATGGTAGAATGTGTAGAATTAGTGACAAATACAAACATTTAACACCAAATGGCCAGCCAACATAATTTTCTTGAGTTTATGAAGTTCTTACCGTAGGATGACAGTCAAACAGGAAATGAAGATGACATTTACAACAACTGAAAGAGTAAAAAATATCCAAGGGGTGGACAAACTCCAACTTACTAAAACATGAGAAAAAAGGACATTTCATTCAAGAAGCCCACTACAGAATGATAGTTATAAAGATATTTGTCACTATGGCAAAAAATGTCAAATGCTTTTAAAACGCATGATTTTGTCCTGCCTACTTTTGGGTTTCTCAGCATGATTGTGCACTTGGATTTCCATTTCTGCCATACCAATGAGATTCTTACTGACACATTCAATGGTTGCTTTGAGGTTCCTGAAACTAGCAATGGAGACGGTGATGCTGCTGCTGGTGTTCTTTGCTGAAGCAATACTGTAATATTCACTGTCCAGAATCGTCCAGTGTATCTCAGGTAACGGCACGCCACTGCTGACGCACATGCAGATCAATTCGTCACCCCACACCAAACAACAGGAGCTATTCAGGATTTTAGGGGCGTCTGAAGAAAAATTATTAACAAATTTGTTTAAAAAATGGTCTTCATCACCTTACTTGAAATTTGAAATTATGATGAGTTATAAGTGAAATAATACATACGTCTTACTTTAAGGATCACAGTACTTTCGGTCTGTACTTTGCTTTTTTGAAAAATGACTGTGCAGGTGAGCTTAGTATTGTGATGTCCAGCCTCAGGATGAAAAGTCATTTCTGAATAGAGGTGTCCACTACTAGAAGCTGCAGTACGTTGAAGTCTAATTTCATCAGGCTCAATCCCTGTCCAAACTATATCTGCCAAGGGATTAAGGCAATCTCCAGGAACTTTGCAGGATATCTCTGCTTTCTCTCCCGGTGTGAGTTGTGGGACGTTTATAGTTGGTTTCTGGTTGAGCTCTAAAAACAATGATTTACTGGAGTCAGAAATGCTATAAATTAAATAGCATTTTAAAATGCTGTTAAAATGCATATAAACACACAACCAACCTTTTACAGTAATTTTTACTGTCTGAGGAAAGATATACACTTTTCCTTGATCCCATTTCAGTTTCAATCTGTATTCACCATCAGATTCACCCTGAACCAAGTTGTTCAGCATAAAGCTGCACTCTCTCTCATTATGAGAAAATACAACAGAAGTGTGCCAAAAAGGAACTTGAACAGTTGAGTTTTGTGGATCTCCTTTGAACCAGGTCCCTTCAATGGGTTCTGAGACACTTTGAGGGACAGTGAATAAGCAGGATACTCTGATGCACAAACCAGCCTCTCCAGTGAAGTTTTCTTCTACTCTTATGGAGAAGTTAGTCGGTTCATCAGGGTGTGAAATGAAAAACCAAAATCAAAGCAATATCAGGTAGACTGTGGACTTAAGTTTAATAATTGTCTTCTACATTGTCTAAATATACTGTATTTTAAATATATCAGTAAAAAAGTATCAAAGCAAAGAAAATAGACATTTTTTTAACTTTAAAAATTTTGTTGAATAAATCACTTAACTAATATTTGAAGAGCTCATAAAACCTGATGTGACAGCAGTATTAATTGTGATCAGATTGGTGCTGTTTTTCTTGATCTTGATCTGTCTCCAGTTTCTGCAGCTGTGATGTCTATTGTTGCACAATACTTGCGTTACATCCCCTATCCTTAACACGTAAAACACTAAACTAACAACACATATTTTTTTAAAGGCATGAAATGTATTGAAACACAAGACCTTTGAATACTATCACAACTTTTAATTAAAATGAAAGTCTTAACAAAGATTACAAGATTTGATGGCATAAAGTAAAAAGGACATAAAAACAAATGTTGGGATTTTAGGATATTAGCACATGCTAAAATTCATGCTGTTTCAAATTATGCTAATGTGTAAGAAAAGCCACTTGATGTATAAACTGAACAAAAAGCTTTATATCAGCTGTAATGTGTTGATCAAACCACTAAGATCTCTCTGAAGACATTTGAAGAGTCTCATACACAGATTCCTCTCTCTTCACTGGAGTCATGTAGACATGGTTGTCTTTATTTGGTTTCTTATGGTTTTCTCTCCTTCTGCCAAAATGGTAATGGTAGAATGTGTAGAATTAGTGACAAATACAAACATTTAACACCAAATGGCCAGCCAACATAATTTTCTTGAGTTTATGAAGTTCTTACCGTAGGATGACAGTCAAACAGGAAATGAAGATGACATTTACAACAACTGAAAGAGTAAAAAATATCCAAGGGGTGGACAAACTCCAACTTACTAAAACATGAGAAAAAAGGACATTTCATTCAAGAAGCCCACTACAGAATGATAGTTATAAAGATATTTGTCACTATGGCAAAAAATGTCAAATGCTTTTAAAACGCATGATTTTGTCCTGCCTACTTTTGGGTTTCTCAGCATGATTGTGCACTTGGATTTCCATTTCTGCCATACCAATGAGATTCTTACTGACACATTCAATGGTTGCTTTGAGGTTCCTGAAACTAGCAATGGAGACGGTGATGCTGCTGCTGGTGTTCTTTGCTGAAGCAATACTGTAATATTCACTGTCCAGAATCGTCCAGTGTATCTCAGGTAACGGCACGCCACTGCTGACGCACATGCAGATCAATTCGTCACCCCACACCAAACAACAGGAGCTATTCAGGATTTTAGGGGCGTCTGAAGAAAAATTATTAACAAATTTGTTTAAAAAATGGTCTTCATCACCTTACTTGAAATTTGAAATTATGATGAGTTATAAGTGAAATAATACATACGTCTTACTTTAAGGATCACAGTACTTTCGGTCTGTACTTTGCTTTTTTGAAAAATGACTGTGCAGGTGAGCTTAGTATTGTGATGTCCAGCCTCAGGATGAAAAGTCATTTCTGAATAGAGGTGTCCACTACTAGAAGCTGCAGTACGTTGAAGTCTAATTTCATCAGGCTCAATCCCTGTCCAAACTATATCTGCCAAGGGATTAAGGCAATCTCCAGGAACTTTGCAGGATATCTCTGCTTTCTCTCCCGGTGTGAGTTGTGGGACGTTTATAGTTGGTTTCTGGTTGAGCTCTAAAAACAATGATTTACTGGAGTCAGAAAAGCTATAAATTAAATAGCATTTTAAAATGCTGTTAAAATGCATATAAACACACAACCAACCTTTTACAGTAATTTTTACTGTCTGAGGAAAGATATACACTTTTCCTTGATCCCATTTCAGTTTCAATCTGTATTCACCATCAGATTCACCCTGAACCAAGTTGTTCAGCATAAAGCTGCACTCTCTCTCATTATGAGAAAATACAACAGAAGTGTGCCAAAAAGGAACTTGAACAGTTGAGTTTTGTGGATCTCCTTTGAACCAGGTCCCTTCAATGGGTTCTGAGACACTTTGAGGGACAGTGAATAAGCAGGATACTCTGATGCACAAACCAGCCTCTCCAGTGAAGTTTTCTTCTACACTGATGGAGAAGGTCGGTTCAGTAGTCGGTTCAGTAGTTGGTTCAGTAGTTGGTTCAGTAGTCGGTTCAGTAGTCGGTTCAGTAGTCGGTTCAGTAGTCGGTTCAGTAGTGTCTGAAATGAAAAAAGCAAAATAAAAATTTGCAATACTGTATTATTAAATGTAATATTTTCAAGTATTTTTTGACAAAATGGTATTAAAATCAATGGCTCATATCAAAGGGACAAACATGATTTTAAAATGAAAATTTTACAATTATTGACATTGTAAATTGATTATTTTGTTTTCACTTATTACACCCATTTATATTTCTTAACCTGGATTTTAAGTCATAGATGATTTATAAAACAATTTAGTCAAAACATTTAATCTGACTTTCTATGCTGATATTTGAAATGTTTTCATCACTCAAAAGTCAAAAGAAAACGTACTTGTTCTTTATAAATCAAGTAATAAGACCATGATGAAATTACAATACAATACACAAGTTAACAACACTCACCAAAACCATTACAGTCCGTCATTTGAGCGACTGTTAGGATGAACAGCAATGTTTGCAGCATCTCAGACTAATAATGAGAGAAATACAGAAATCATGTATTTTTTAAGCAAAACTATGACTATAATAATAAAAAAATCAGTCTTATTTGACATTATTAGTTACAAAAAAGACACAAAAACTGTTAAAATGGTCGCTTACCTTACATTTGAAGAGCTGATGTGACAGCAGTTTTTCTTCAGATCCGTTTCGTGCTTTTTACTTGGTCTAAATGATTTATCATTACCATAGAGATGTGTGTACTTGATACCCCTCCCATGATGACTAAAAGTAAAACTAAACTAATATAGAAACCAGTATTGTAAGTACTGAAATTATTTTCTAAAAAACTAAAATTTTCTTTATACTTAATTATTTGTTCATTTCTGTACAATGAATTATGAGGATTCCATTTTTATTAGAAACCATCAATTCATGTTTTGAGACTAGAACCAAGACAATTGGGATCATCTTTTTTATATGCATATATTTTTATTTTTGCATTTTTTTAAAGACATTTGATCAAAACATTGCTGTGTGCAACAAACAGATTCTAAGAGAAAACATCCCAGTAGAGATTTTTAAAGACATTAGATGGTGTATTGAAACCATCATAAAAACTTAAAATTATTTAAAGGAAACTCTTTTTCCAAAACACCATTAACTAACTAGGCATTTCCGTCGTACAAGAGCTCTGTTCAGAAATTGTGAATAACGACAGGCTGACGTTGCTGAAGGCAGATCACCTCATCTATGTACAGAGAGTTGGTCTTCACCTGGATCTCCTCCTCTAGGCTCAACTGGCTGCTTGCTAGAGCTTTCAGTTTAGTCTCTGAAAGCTGGAACGCCTCGGCTAGTCTAATGCAGAAACCATAGAGGGAAAATGCTTTTATTGGCGACATACCTATTAGGGCATGCAATTAAAGTTACATGTTTGGTAACATCCAAACCCTTTCCTTTACCTCTCGATGTAGTTAGTGAGCTCCTTGACCTCTGCCAGCAGCCGGATTTGAGCCGGGTCACGGCAGAGCTCAACGTTGGGCCTTTGGCTGCGAGCGGACAGTCGAGTCTGAGCCACTTTCAGTGGAGCTTCTTTCTCTGCGATAGCCACTTTTAGAGCCTCCAGATTCTTTTCTTGATTTGCTATCTCTGCTAGCAGCTTTGAGAGAGCACAGACATGTGAAACTAGTCAAATTACAACAACAACAAAACCTATAGATAAAAAAAGTTCAAAAGTGACCTTATTTACTTAATAGTAGGTAAATAAAATAATATTTTACTTAAAATAATTTTTTTTTATTATGAATTATCCAGCTTATTACAGTATATACGTCCCTACTATATGATGCTGACAACATGGCGAAAGTAGTATGTCCATATTACATTCATACTACGCACATTCATATAATATAGAAAATATTTTTTTAGTGTAATTACTTATTCAAAATAAGTACCAAATCAAGCCGTCCGCTGCATCTGAAATCGAATACTTGCCCACTATTTAGTTTGTGGAATATTCAACCGAGATTGCATGAGGTAAGTAATTGATGATGAGAGAATTTAAATTTTGGGTGAACTATCCTGCAACCAACCTCATTGAGCTGGTTCTCAAGCTGGGTTTTGGCAGTTTTGGTCTCCTGTATGCGCAGCTCAAATGCCCTCCCCGTAGCCTCATACTGTCTGCGCATGTCTGCCGCCGTCTGCTCTAGCAAGCTTTCCACAAGAGCTCTCAGGGAAAGAGAGTTTTTCTTCTCATTTTCAGCTTTGCTAATGTTTAAGTTGCAGAGGCTCTCCCATTCCTCAGGATTCACATCAATTCTGGAAACGGTAAAGGAAATAGGAAAGGAAAAAACGTTGGAAAACCTAAATCTGATAATATATTTATAAAACAGAATTAGATTTTTAAATACTGTATCACAAACATGTCATCGATCTTACCCAACACTTGTTAAGTTTGAATTCCCTCCGTTTAAATCAGGCGATGTGTTGGTGAGAAGAAAGCAGAAATCATCAATGCGTTCAGCCTGAAATTTGTCCTGCAAGTCCTTTTCCAGATAATACTTCACTGAACGAATAAGCCTGTAAAAGCACAGGAATAATTTACAGACTACAATGTAGTTTTGAGCAAATTAACGTTTATTTAACTAGAGAGAATTTTATTGAACAACACAATATAATTCAAGGATTCAGCGCCATATTT